AAAATATTAGTGCAGTTTTCTCAAAAATGTCTGTTTGTACATTAAAAAAAATTTTCGAAACAAAAATATTTTTTGCGCTGCCACAAAAAATAAGAGAGTTTGTTTCTGATTGGTTGGTTTTCGACCAATGAACCCTCGGCCAAAAACATGGGCTTCAGATTCGGATTCAGGGCCCTCGATAACCTATAGCAAAGTTCACTCAAAACGAGTAAAAGTCTTAACATAAGCTAATCTCTCTGATATGTTTTTTGACCCCAATCAAGTAAGATAACCAACAAATGCATTTTATTTCGTATGACTCGCCCTTCAGTCGAGGAAACTACGTGCAAAACAAAGATTTCGATTCCTTAGTAACGTTCCAGCAAAAGAGCAAAAATTCTTAAAATAAAAAAGTTGATTTCTCATTGGCCAGCTCTCGACCAATGAAACGTCAACCGAAGAAATGTACTTCGGATTCGGTTTCAGGACCCTCGATGGCCTATATCAAAGTTTCATCGAAACGGCGAAAAGCCTTAAGAACCAGTCCATGTAAGCAACGACTAGGGGTGTCAGTTTCAGGTTCCGTTCCTGGGAACGGGAACTCCAAAGTACGGGAACCCTGACACCCCTAGCAACGACCGAAGTTGCTCAATTTAAGATATGTTATAAAGAAAAGAGTTGTATGATTTTTGACGCAAACCGGTTCAAAAAATATTGAACCCTCGATTCTTTTTATGAGCATTATACGAAAAGGCCTCAAAATGACCATATATATAAATGGGAGTCCTAATGCAACGATATCTTATGGATGGTTCAACCAAATGAGCTGAAATTTTTTATTATCATGCATCCCGATGAATTCTATTTTCCATAAAATTTTCGTTTTAAAATATTGAGCCATTGGAATTTTATGAAGCACTCAATATACGAAAAAAGGGCCTTTTATGGTAACTTTGGCACTTCATAACTTTTTATAGGAATTATGTATGGCTTTCAAATTTTTACTAATAATAGGAAACTAAAAGATGTATCTCTTCTGAAAATTTCAGCTATTCATATCGTTTCATTTGCTCACGGTAGCCCCGTGAAAAACGGAATTTTGATAAATGTGCGGACTTTCAGGATAGGCTTTCTCCCAAGCAGGGGCGTAACCAGAAAAAAGCTGTAGAGGGGGCTCAGCTGCCCCCCCCCCCCATCTCCCCAGTTATATTTCGAGAAATTGACAAAGACCAGCAGGTAATCCGACCTTCGAAACTCTGGGAGAATCGCGTGCATATTTTTCCTGAGATAGTATGTGTTTAAAGTAGTAATATATCTCGTACAGTGTTTCTTNCAGTTTTCTCAAAAATGTCTGTTTGTAGATTAAAAAAAATTTTCGAAACAAAAATATTTTTTGCGCTGCCACAAAAAATAAGAAAGCTCGTTTCTGATTGGTCGGTTTTCGACCAATGAACCCTCGGCCGAAAATTTGGGCTTCAGAGAAAGATTCAGGGCCCTCGATAACCTATAGCAAAGTTCACTCAAAACGAGTAAAAGTCTTAACATAAGCTAATCTCTCTGATATGTATTTTTTTTGACCCCAATCAAGCAACATAACAAACAAATGCATTTTATTTCGTATGACCTTTCCTTCAGTTGAGGGAACTACGTGCAAAACTAAGATTTCGATTCCTTAGTAACGTTCCATCAAAAGAGCAAAAATTCTTAAAATAAAAAAGTTGATTTCTGATTGGCCAGCTCCCGACCAATGAAACGTCAACCAAAGAAATGTATTTCTGGTTCGGATTCAGAACACTCGATGGCCTATATCAAAGTTTCATCAAAACGACGAAAAGCCTTAAGAACCAATCCATGTAAGCAACGACCGAAGTTACTCAATCGACATCATCAGAACTTGCTCAATTTAAGATATGTTATGAAGAAAAGAACTGTATGATTTTTGACGCAAACCGGTTCAAAAACTATTGAAACCTCGATTCTTTTTATGAGCATTATACGAAAAGGCCTAAAAATGGCCATATATATAATTGGGGGTCCTGGTACAACGGTATCTCATGAATGGTTCAACCAAATAAGCTGAAATTTTTTATTGTCATGCATCCCGATGAATTCTATTTTCCATAAAATTTCCATTTTAAAATATTCAGCCATTGGAATTTTATGAAGCATCCAATATACGAAAAAGGGTCCATTTATGGTAGCTTCGGCACTTCATAACTTTCTATAGAAATTATGTGTGGCTCTCAAATTTTTACTAATAATAGGAAACTAAAATTTGTATCTCTCCTGAAAATTTCAGCTATTCATATCGTTTTATTTGCTCACAGGAGCGCCGTGAACAAATGAAATTTTGATTAATGTGGGGACTTTCAAGATAGGCTTTCTCCCAAGATATCGATTATGTGGGATGTTGGTTATTAGAATCTGGAAGTACTCTCTTCGGGCTACAATTCTGTAAAAGAATCAGCATGGAATCTCCAACAACGGCTACAGGGCACTCATTGCTAAATATGAAAAAGTGAACGTTTTTCAATGGGAAATCTATTCAAGTGCAATTCACAGTTCCTCCAAGGAAATAAATATGTGGTATAAAATTTATGTAGTAAAAATCAGCATTAAATTATCCATTGCCCTATATCAAAATATCCTTTCAAAATGAAAAAGAAAATTTTAAGGAAAAATCCCCCTACCCCCCTCCAGGTCTTTCTTTAATATTTCATTCTGACAACCCTGTACACCCCTAGGACGATTTTTCGTAAAAATTTTTTTTTCATTTTCAAAGAATATTCCGATACAGACTAATAGAGAATCAGAAGCTGACTTTTACCATATAAAATTTATGTCACATAGCAGAATCCTTGAAGGAATTTCGAAGTACACTTGGGGTAGATTTCCCATAAAAAAGGCTCATTTTTTTGTATTTTGCAATGAGTGCCCTGGAGCCACTCTTGAAGATCCCACGCTAATTTTTTTACAGAACTGTAGCCCAAAGACAGTACTTCCAAGTTGTAATAACCAACGCCCCAGAAAATACATATCTTGGGGCAAAGCGTATCCTGAATGTCCCCACATTTAGCAAAATGCCGTTTTTTCACGGGACTGTCCTGAGCAAACGGAACGGTATGCATAGCTGAAATCTTCAGAAGAGATACATCTTTCAGTGTCCTATTAACACTGAAAATTTGAGAACCATGTATTATTCCTATCAAAAGTTATGAAGTACCAAAGTTACCGTCTTCAAGCAATTTTTTGAAAAAAATGTTTTTTTGACCCCAATCAATCAAGCAAGCAAGCAAGCAAACAAGCAAGCAAACAACCGCATTTTATTTCATATGACCCTCCTTCCAGTCGAGGGAATGAGATGTACAGTACACATACATAGCTTTTGGCTGCTGATTCAAAACTAAAGCTGATACACTACCATAAACTCCGGACATATTCGACGCACCGTCGTAGCATTGACCACGACAATCGAGTACATTTAAACCACACCGGGTTAATACATCACAAATTGCTTCAACAATTGTTGGAGCATCTTGTCGAGATAATTCATAAAGTCCAAGAATATCTTCAAATATTTCATAATTATCATCTACAGATCGAATACCATTACATAATCGTTCAAGTGTTGATTCATCACATGTTTCATCGCATATTAAGGAAAACCATTTTCTGTTGGAAATCTGAATAGAATAACAAAAGTATTTTTAACTTTATATGAACTCAAAAAATAATGCCATATCGATTCAGAACAGATAGCTAGAGACATTTCAACTTTTTTTTTCATTTTCTAGAATTTATAGATAACATAAACATTTTTTATCGAATGTAATAGATAAATTTTATTGCACAATGCTAGTGCTTCATTTCATATTATTAGCTATTAAAGTAACAAAGATTACTGTAAATCTGCGAAGAAAATCTTAGGAGAAACCAGTTTCCTGTTTAATTGTTCAAGAAAAAAATCTGATATGTTCTGGAAAGACGATTCGTTAGATGCTACACGATAGTTCTATGTAGTTTTCTCAATCAAAAAAAGCTATACGTACTACCTACTTCTTTTAGAATACCTCGAATAATGAGTAAATAAATTTCTTCCCAAAGTTCATTGATTATATCATGTAATACATATTTCTTGTCGTTGATCTATTCTTTTAAAAAACCATTATCAACACCTCGAAGTTTTAACAGTTGAATCGAATCGCTTTCAATATCGGAATGCCCTCTAAATGCAAGACCTTGTCGAAGTAAATATAAAATACATGAAATTCGTAATGAAAGAGCTTTTCGACGTTGTTCTTGTTGTCTTTTGATTGCTGATATTAATTGAGCTGTTACAGTTGGTTTTGCTTGTTGACCAACAACATCAATTGAAGTAGCATACATTTTAGTTTACTCATGAAGTTTCATTCTTGACCTGGCATTCTTCCAGTCACAAAAACCTT